CATCTCTGCGTGTGTGGAGAGAAATAATAATCAACATTATGGACGAAAAGAGAGAAGATGGGCGTTCAGCGACTCAGCTGAGACCACTGAGTTGTACTCGTAGCGTTCTCAACCGTGCCCATGGCTCTGCTAGTTTTTCTCAAGGTACAATTTTTTTATGAATTTTCTCTCCTTTCTGTTTTTACTTATTTGCTCTTTTTTTTTTTTTTAAATTGATTAATTAATTACTTAATAAATGCTTCCTTGGGCAGGCTCTTTTTTATTTGCTTCAGTGATAATGCATATGTTTTTTTTTTTGTAATGAGTATCTACCTTTCAAGTTGTTTCTTTGATTTGGTTTGTAATATTATGATTTTTCTAATTCTAGAGTATGAAATTCAAAAATTTTCGCCAGAAGAAAACTACATATTTTGGAAGTTTTGAACACGTATTTCTTGAAACGCAAACAAAAAAGAATAAGATAAATGCCTATTGCCAGCCCTATAATTGTTTTTATCACTTATTTTAGTGATTTTTTTGAGACGAGACTTGATATAGATTATTGATGTTATGTCGTATCTAATGAATATTGTGAAAAAGGAAAATTGTTTTATTTGATCTTCATTTATGTTGTTTTGGAATTTAGTTACTCTGCTTACTAGTGTTGTTTTTGTTTGGTTTCAGGGGAAACCAAAATTCTTGCTGCAGTTTATGGGCCAAAGGCTGGGACAAAGAAAAATGAGAATCCGGAAAAAGCTTGTATTGAAGTCATTTGGAAGCCCAAATCTGGCCAAATTGGTGAGATTATGTTCAGTGTTTGTTTATGACCTAATGATGCTACTTAAGTATTTTATATAAATTGTGAAGCAAAGAATTATAAAGGCGTTCCACTACATTGGACCTCTCAGATGTGTAACAGCTTATGGAGCCTATTTGGCTTAAATTATCTTTATTGCTAATAACTAGATTATGTTTTGACTCCATTTGCCCATTTGCAAGATATACATCATTCATGCCTTCACGCCCTTTTGTTGTTGTATTACTATTTTATAGATTGAAGCCCTACGCATCGACTATTTTGCATATACTATGTTGTTAGCTTTCTCAGACAATTTTTCATGAAGTTAAGCTTGCACCACTTCGCCATGTGTAGGTTGAGTTTACTGAATGTTGACTTTGGTTGGAAGTTGGAACTCTCCAGATGCTGATGCCGTTCCCATTGACTGATGTTTTATTGAACTTGCTGAATTTTAGGGAAAGCAGAAAAGGAGTATGAGATGATACTAAAAAGAACTTTGCAAAATATCTGCCTTTTGAATGTTCACCCAAATACCACCACATCGATCATTATCCAGGTACAACTGTTGAACAACTGACTGGATCTTTTCTTCCAAATTTGTTGCTAACTAAAATTAACCAGAACCAGTTTGGCATGCTAAATGGGTAACTTTATAAAGAAATTGAATTGTCCAATATCTATTCTTGTTTTGACATTCTTATAAATTCTTTCTTCAATTCTACAAACTTCATTTGCCTTTTCAATGACCATGGAAACACATTCATTTCCGTTATGAACTGATGTTAACCTCTTCATCATTGCATGCTTAAGAATAGATAGATCCAACATGGTTCTTAGTTAACCAAGCTATTGGAATAAGGCTTAATTTGTTGCTATTGTTTGGTATTTATCTAGCAATCATGGAGTTTTGCACGTGGGAGGGGGAACAGAAGGTTAAATTGACAACTGCTTCATGTAAGACTGTAAGAGTAGTAATGTAGTATTCTGTGAACCTACTGTGAATCCTAATTCGGATTGACTATCAGTGTCACTACAAAATTATAAGATGATAGAGATAGAGAGACCATTAAAATCTTTGCAATAAAGAAGTTAAAATGTTTTTTGCTAGCTACCTTATTTATTTTTCTTGCTTTTGAATTCTATGACTTTTCAAATTTGCAACTATTGATCATAACGTATTACACCCATCCTACATCGGATATGTTGTGGCTTTGCAAATATTTTATAATATACTGGTGTCTATGACTTTGAAGCATATATTTAAGCATTTTGGGCCTGTAGTTTAGGCTTTGATATGCTGTGAAGGCTAGTGGTTTCACCAGATCGTGAAACATAAGATACGATAGTTTACCACCTTCACTTACTAAACAGGGTCTCTTTAGTCCAATCTTTATGCATCTCCTTTGGTGGTTGCATTAATATCTTTGGTGTGACTCCTCAACTTTCACATTCGTGCAGGTTGTTAATGATGATGGTTCGGTATCCTTCATGATTATGCAGCTTCATTTACTGCAATAATGGTATATGGAGGAAACACTGTTTGCTTTCTGATGTGACTAATGTAATATTCTTTCCCATTTCCTTGAATCAAAACCTGATTTTAAATCTATAGCACGGGGCAATTCTAAGGTATAATTTGCAGAGCAAGCTCGTTTGCCAATTAAAGAAATTAAATGAATAAATAAATTTAGGAAGGTATGCCTGTTTCAATGTACTTGCTGACTGTTTTTAATTAAACATAAATGTTACCAAAGAAAAGAAATGAAACAAAAATTATCAATGAAACGTTAAATTTGACCCTGTTATCTTTAATTTTCGATACTTTGGTTTCTTGATTTGTCTCTGTTCTTCTTCTTTTTTCTTTTTTCTTTTTCACTTTATTTTTCATTTATGTATTTTAACAGAAATTTTGAAATGACCATCCTGGTAACTTTATTATGAGTTCTGATAAAGGACCGCATTTTATGGTTTCTCTATTTTTTGAAAGGAAAGAAAATTTAGGTTTCAGAAATATTAAGGGACAAAAACAATTTTATGCTATCATATTATCTTTGGGTTTTATATTAATTTCATGAAATTTTTCTTTAAGCACTGTACATGTTAATATTCCGTGTTCTGAAGGCCTTGTTAACTTCCTTGACTAACCTTTTGTTAAGCTTCTCCCATGTGCCATAAATGCAGCATGTTCTGCCCTTGTAGATGCTGGAATTCCCTTGAAATATCTTGCGGGTAAATATTATATATTGCCATTTTTCCCAGTAGTGTTTTGAGGAATGGTGTACTGAACATGGTTCGATATAGTTGAAATGTGTAGTACTAACATTTGTTGCAATTGTTTTCTGTAGTTGCCATAAGTTGTTGTCTATCGAAACATGAATATTGTATATTGGATCCCAACAAGCTAGAAGAAGAGGTATTCTAAATTCTAATTATTCTTGATTTTGTCATTCTCATTCAGTATTTTCTCTTGTTTATGAAATTTCCTTTGCCACGAGTTAGTCAAATTACTGAATGAATGTATCATCTGCACATATAATTGATATATAAAGTATACCTTAAGTCACTGCTAGTATTGATCCTGTAGCCAGTATTCTGTTGTCTATTTTCAATAACTATTTTCTGTTAATAGCATAATTGTGGGAAAATTCTAGGGATGGCAAAAAAAAAAAAAACCCGTTCAACCCGATACCCACTAGGCCTTGCACGGGAAACATGGTCCCTGCCTTGTTTAAAGTTAATTTTGAATATAAGTTTTTTATCACGTTACCAGCCGCACCCCTATCTTGTCCCGAACCCACTATCCCGCTTTAATCGGGTATGGGGGCAGAGCAAGGTAACAAAAATTCCCGACGAGGCGTGAAACAGGAATGGCCGACCCGCCCCATACCCACCCGGTTGCCATCCCTAGAAAATACTTATAGTTTTGACTCCATGCAATGCTTCCATGTAAATACATATTTGATTCTCCTCCCACGTGTGTATTGTACCTAGATATCTCTCTCACTCCGTGCTTGCATAAAACATGGCAGAAAATGAAGGCACTGGTATCTTTAGTTTTCCGAAACTCGATCCTGTCTGTATGTGACGAAGAATCTAAGCAAGAAGGAGAATCAATTGAAAATGGAATGATCACATCTGTTACTCATGGTGTAATGACAGGTAGTTTTCATACTTCCCAAATCTTTTAGTTCATTCAACACCTTCTATTACAATAAATTAGTGGTAAAAGTATGGGAGACATTGGATTCCCTGCTAGTTCACAGAGATGACTGGGTGTCATGGCTAAGCAGTTTAGGATTCTCGACATCTTTCGCTAGTATTTCTTAGTGTGTAATTGTGGATGTATTCCTTTTAACTGATAGTAAAGGGCTTACATCAAGCCTCCCTTGTATTTTTACTGTCGCCATGGATGAGCTTACAATACATAATGAGTTTAATTTTGCTTCTTTCTAAAAAGCAGCAGCTTTTTTTGTTCAAAAGTACGTCCTTAGTCTTCTTTCAGCACTAAGACCCTTTTTTAAGCAATTTTTTTGCTACTGTTGTAGTTATCTATATATTTCTATGACTAAAATGACATTTCATGTATTTTCTTTCAACTTTGCTTAACTTAAAGCCTTTAGATTTCAATGTGCTTCTTCAAGTTTTAACATCTATTCCCCTCCTATACCCGAGGCCGTAAACTGGAACTATGCCCATATATCTAAAAAATTCATTCTCGATATTTCTCATATGGTCATCATGACTTTTTCAAGATGAGGTCTGGTAGTGCACGTTATGCTCCCTCCCCACCCCTCAAATCTATATCACATTGGTATTTTCAATGTTCTTTGAAATAATTACAATACCAGGGCATAAACACGTGACTGTTTTTTATTTGCCTGCAAATATCTTACAGCTTGCATCCATTTGTACACAGTGAACAATTACTTTCAGTGTCTGGAACAAGGGCACGCTGCGATTAAGCCGCTATCTAATTTTCTTAGGAAAAAGTTGCAGTGGAAGGTACAAAGTGATGTATCTGTACCCGGCTGAATTTATTGAGGGCAATGCATAGGATATCTGCATCAGAAAGTTCTTCGATTTTCTTGGTATGTTATGGATGTCTTGTATGGCATTTTACCATTGTTGCTGAATCTGCTTGAAGTTTGATGTGTTGTGAAATAGTTTTGCATTAACTACCGTATGGCTTCTTTATTAACAATACCTGTTAAAGAGCTATTGGCGTTTATACTATTAATGGAAATACAAAGCATTTAATACTTGTGCACTTGTCTGTGTTTCTTCAAAAAAAGACACAAGTACACAACTCTTCTGGAATGTGTTTTCTAATAAGCATGAACCTTATTCATAGACAACATCATCATATGGGAAAGGAAAAAGATGAGAAAGAATCACATTCCTCTGTCAAATACAATATAAGGAAAACTCGAGTAGATGAACTGAATCAATATGTTTTGCTTGGTTGTCGTCTTAGTTTGTTTTCCGTGCCTCGTCTGATGATCCAATGTGAGACTTCATTCATCAAGATTTGTTTTATTTCGTTACATCCTAATGTGATCTTCTATATAATCTTGCTTATATAACATCAACCATCAATGAACATCATTGGGTGCAGAAACTGAGGTAACAATGTTTCAGTCTTTGTCGTTCAAGCCTTCCTCAGAACCCTGCCTAAAAACCCCCAAATTCCATTACCTAATAGGGGTGGTAACCAAAATCAGAACTACCAACATCAGAGTTACTACTTGTCTCAAGACTTTTTCTCATTATTTTCAATTCTTCGACCCCACTGACATTACTTCTCGAGCTTGCATCTGTTACCCTTCTCTCTTTTTCTTTCCTCCATTTGTTCTTCTTTCGCCAATGCATTGCCAACATTATTACAAGCCCACAAAAGACAATCATTGTGCACCCACCTCCTATTACTACCAGTTCCACTTTTACCAATCTGTTTCCTTTTCCCTTTGGCATTGTTGACCAAATGGCTGCTATAAAAGCTGATGACATAAACAGTGTAGAAATCCACATTATCTTGTGAGTTATTGTAAGTAATTTCATCATGGATTTCCGTTTAAAAGGGATAATGCTTACAAGAACATTCACAATGCCAACAGCAAGGAACAACGCCACAATATTGCATACCAGAAAAACCTTAAATGAAATTTGCCTTCCAAGAACTGCATTCCCAGTTTGTTGATTGAATCCTCCTGGAGGGTTTATGCCTGCAGTAAATGTAACAGTTGCTATTAGAACTGCAACTATTGTTATGGTATTTCGAGCATTTCGTAGACTCTCATTGTGAAGATCAAGCAGCTTTTTGCGTAGTCGATTTCGCCTGTGATGACGACAATAGGGAGAATGGGTTGATTCTAAGTTCTTGTTTGGCGATGAATTCATCCTAGCAACATTTTCACTTGAACTTTTAGAAGTGGAACTGGCATTTTGTCGAACGTCTAGCAGTTGAGTAGATAATTGCTTGCGTCTTTTCGCTCCGGCTTCTTGTAATGCTGGTACAATCACAAGAGCACCAGAGTTGCTTGCATCTGCTTCAATCACATCAAGAGCTGTTTTTCCCTTGCAGTTCAGAGCATTAACCTCCATCCCAAATTTAAGCAGGTATACAACCATCTATAAGCAATTAATTTACAAGAAAAGTCACGTTTCAGATGTTGAACTAGACAAGTTTTAAGAATCAGTATTCATATCCGTTAAATTTTCTCATCTAAACGCTAAATCATATGCTTTTCTTCTAAGGAGTTACATATTCGTCCCTTTCTTTATTTCATGTCTTCGTGGAGACCCTTGAACCCTAAACCATATTCCATAATTATAATCAAAGAGTTAGATAGCTTACACCGGTGAGTTTTCCAGCAGTAGCCAAGTGCAGAATAGTATTTCCGTTACTATCAGCCAAGTTGAGAAGCTCTGTAGTGTCAAGTGTTTCCATTAAGTACCTAATTGTTTCAAAGTGATTATTCTTGACAGCCAAGTGCAGAATTGTTTCCCTATTGTGTGTTACAATCTCAACAGATTCCATACTTGCAGAAATTATTTCATCAATTATGTTAATTCTGCCTTTAATTGCTGCACAATGAAGAGGTGTTTTGCCTTCAATGTCTTGTATAGAGGAAAGATCTGAATCCAGCTTTAGAAATTCTCTTGTTATCTCTAAATGGCCTTTGCTGCATGCTACGTGCAGTGGTGTGTATCCATGAAAATCCTTTTTCCGAGCAAAGTCGGGGCGTGCTCTCAGTATTTCCTTCACTATTTCTGGAAAAGAAGGGGAACGGTTAAATCTTGTTCTCAATAAATTTTGATCGGAAATATGAATTAGTCCATCCTCAATTTTACTTTTAAGAATTTAATACAATCAGATGCTTAGCTAGCAACAACCCAACATGTTTTTTTCCAATAAGATGTAAACGAAATAATTTTATTTTATTTAAAAAAAAACTTTTATATGAATAACATAATATAAATTCCTTATCAAACGTGGAAAATTCTTAACACAGCAAAAATAAGATCAAGTAATCGAACATGTGGTGATCTTGTTATTGTAACATGAAGGTGATAGATTCGTATAAACTTGTAATCAAATGCGTGGAAAATTCGGACCCCATGTTCAACAACCATTGACTTCATGGGTCAATGCACGACAAGGGATGTCCCAATCTCAGCCCAAGTATTTACTCCAGCCTGCTATTGTTTTAATTAAGTCTAGTATTTATCACTTATAAAAAAAATTGTGCTCGTATTAAAAATGTTTTAATAAAAAATAAATCTAACCTGTACGCTAAAGCAATTTACATGAATAAGTACAAATTCAGTCTCTAGTAGATATCTTTTAGGCTAAGTGGTTCTTGATATATATATATATATATATATACCTACCTGTATGCCCAGATGAAGCTGCAACATGAAGTGAACTGTTCGACATATCCACTTCCAGCATAAACAGCCGAGGGAAATTCATCAGATGCTTCACTGCGTCAATCTTCCCTCTCTCACACGCTGCGAAAAATGCGCTTTCGCCGAGAGAATTCACTTTGTAAATGATCGAACTATCACTTTCCAGCAATAGTTTGATGATTTCCAAATGCCCTTCTCTGCATGCTTCGTGCAAAGGTGTTTCCAGCTCTTCATTTTCCCCTGAAACCATCTCTGGACACAGTTTTATGATCTTGGATGCCAATTCTTCATACCCAAATCTTGCAGCCAAGTGCAGTCCGGTGTGCAGCGATCCTGGGACTGTTTGTTTTATGATGTTTTCATCTTTCTCGATTAGGCTGTGAAGGAGTGAAATGTCACCGTTTACCAATGCCTCGTGGAGTCGACGATCCATTGCAAAAAGGTGCTTGAACCACCTCGTCTAAGAATTTAAGTCGGAAAGGTGAGGAACGAAGGAGAAATGGCTAATAGGGATGATTTTCTGAGGGAACTTTATAAAGAAAGCGAAGCCATTTTTTCCACGAAGTTCAAAAGCTACTTTATTTCACTGAATTTCGAAGGAGTTTTCCATGGGGTAATTAACACATAACGTCCACACCTTTTATTGTTATTGTGAAAAACGTCCATACCTTTCATTTTTTTTTTGGCATTTTCACCCTTATTTCCACATTTTATTGCTCAAAAAGTTATTTTCATCCATTTTCTCAATTAAAAATTGTGAAATAACGAAAATACACTTTCTTTTAAATAAAAAAAATAAAAAAGAAAAAAAACTAATTGCAAACATAGTCCCAACTATTTTGAAAAGTGCAANNNGTCCCAACTATTTTGAAAAGTGCAAATGACTTGAAAATAAATTATTAAAACGGTAATTAGCACATAATGTCCCCCACCTTTCACTATTATTGTGAAAAAATTCCTACGTTTTATTTTTTTGGCATTTTCTTCCTTAATTATATTTTGATAGCGCAAATCATTGTTTCTATCAATTTTTTCAATAAAGAACATTGAAATAATAAATATACATTCATATTTAAATATTTTTTTTAAATTTCTAATTCTTTAATAATTTATTTGAGACTCGTTTGCACATGTTAATTTTTTGTAATTTTTTAAATAAATTTAATTGGAACTCGTTTGCTTTTTTCATAAAAAAAATTAAATTTTTTAATAATTTATTGGAGACTTGTTTGCACTTTTTTAAAAAATAGGACAATGGTTGTAATTAATTCTTTAGCTTTTTTTTTATTTAAATATGAGGGTATATTCGTCATCCCCACAGTTTTTTATTGAAAAATTGGATGAAAATGGATAGAAATGATGGTTTGCGCTATCAAATTATAATTAAGGGAGATAATGCCAAAAAAATAAAATAAAATGTATGGATATTTTTCGTAATAATAGTGAANGTCCCAACTATTTTGAAAAGTGCAAGTGACTTGAAAATAAATTATTAAAACGGTAATTAGCACATAATGTCCCCCACCTTTCACTATTATTGTGAAAAAATTCCTACGTTTTATTTTTTTGGCATTTTCTCCCTTAATTATATTTTGATAGCGCAAATCATTGTTTCTATCAATTTTTTGAATAAAGAACTTTGAAATAATAAATATAAATTCATATTTAGATATTTTTTTTAATTTCTAATTCTTTAATAATTTATTTGGGACTCGTTTGCACATTTTAATTTTTTAAATAAATTTAATTGGAACTCGTTTTCTTTTTTCATAAAAAAAATTAATTTTTTTAATAATTTATTGGAGACTTGTTTGCACTTTTTAAAAAAATAGGAAAATGGTTGCAATTAATTCTTTAGCTTTTTTTATTTAAATATGAGGGTATATTCGCCATCCCACAGTTTTTTATTGAGAAATTGGATGAAAATGGATAGAAATGATGGTTTGCGCTATCAAATTATAATTAAGAGAGATAATGTCAAAAAAATAAAATAAAAGGTATGGATATTTTTCGTAATAATAGTGAAAGGTAGAGACATTATATGGTAATTACCCTTTTAATAATTTATTTGTGACTCATTTGCTCTTTTCAAAAACGTTGGGACTATATTTGCAATTAGTTTTTTTCTTTTTTCCTTTTGTTTTATTTAAAGGGAATGGTATTTTTGTCATTTGACAATTTTTAATTGAGAAAATGGATAAAGATGATCTTTTGCGCAATGAAATGTAAAAATAAGGGTGAAAATGTCAAAAAATGAAATGTATGAACATTTCCACAATAACAACGAAATGTGGAGACGTTACATGCTAATTACCCTTTTCCATGGGCAATCATTTTTTTTAAAGTGCATGTCAACTTTATGACCATATATAAATGATACGTCCTTCTCTAACACTTTAGATTATCAATGCAAAAGTGTTACTTTAAAGTACTGTTGTCGCCAATCTAATGAAATCGTGCAAAAAAAATTTTTCCTTCCAAAAAATGGTGCCTGCACATGCAAAGCATATTCAAGACAAATTTAATTGATTTACATGTATGTGGCTCTCGTTAAACTTTTATATCAAGTGACTCAAGAAAAGTCAATGATGAAAATTTTTTATCGACAACAATTATGTAAAGTTCCATATAGTTGATGACACATAATTTGCAGCGTAACATTCGCGTTGAGCATAATCGGTCCCACTGATGGGCGTCGAGACTGAATTTTTGGTTGAGCGCAGAGTGAAGAAGTTTCTTAGCAATTAAAAATGGCTGTCAATAATTCTAGGCTCAAGTGTGAACCAATCTTTGGAGAAAATTATCACACGGCTTTAATTAGTAGGGCCACAGTTCTTTCATTGGTAAATAAGAAAATCTCCTATAAATAATTGTGTAATTATTCTAAGTCTCTCGTCAAGTCTTTCTCAAAATCAGAGCACAAATAAGAAAATTAAAGAAGTTGATGGTTCGGAAGGTCCTAGAACC